TTCTAGAGAAGACCACACCGGACCAAACCGACATCGAGACTAGACCAAACCGATCAAATATAATTCAGTCTGCTACTTGGTCCTGTGAATTTTATAAATACTAAAGGGAAATGGGTCTGGATGATATTTGGTTCGGACCAAACTGGACTGAATGTAATGTTGATCCAGTCCTTGGTCGTAATTTTTTTACTTTTGGACTGCGGTTCTCAAGGTTTGAACGAGTCCAATTCGAACCATACCATTGCAAACTCCTACAATATTATCATAACACCCAGATTTCAAAAGCCTAAAAATGGTTTAAAAGCTAGCTTTTAAGGCTTTTACTATGATTGAAGGCTTTTACTTGGGCTTTTGATGCAAAAATATTTTTGAACAAAAGCTATTGTATTGTGTAAAGCGTAAAAGCATAGGCTGTTAGGCTTTAAAGTTAGCTTTTGACTACATTGGTTGTAACTCATAACCCAAACCCAACACAAATGAGATGGGTTCCACAAAATAAAATTACCACTCAATCTTAAATACTAATTCTAGAGGTTAGACGGAGAGTTGGATTAGATTGCACAAGTGGGTTGAATAAGATTCATTTTTTTCACACTTTGATATAATGCAAGTAATTCATATGCATTGAAGATCATACTAGAAATCTTGTAAAATTACTTACTAATGGTATTTTTCAAGGTAGCTTGATATACACAAGTCATTAAGATGCATTTCCAATCCAATAGCCTAATTGTTTGTCAATAGTTTAATTCTATAGATATATCATAAGTAATTTAGACCTTAAATTGAACAAAATTTCTTATATGAGATCACAAGTTAAATTGTTTGTTAATGGTATAAATTTATATATACCATAAACAATTCTGACAATATGATAATCAATATTCCAACAAACTTCAATTTATCTTGCTTTGTTAGGCATATGAAATATCAAGTCCTAAACCATATGAATGATAAAGAATTATTATATGTTTATGATGAACGCATGAACTAGAGTTCCCTATTGTTTGTGGCCTTTTATAATGCAATCCTTTTAGTCTTGAATTAACCAAATTTCATCTCCAACAAATTGGAGATATTCTTAAATGTTTGTAATATGTTCATTTAGTTTTGAAAATAACCTTTTGCATCCACTCAAGCTAAAACTTCGGGTAAATAGGTTTGAGCCACAAGCCCCCATAGATTACACAAACTTGTGGGAGTTCATATTTTTTTCCTCACATGATAGTCTTACAAACATCCATCTCATCTTTATTTATAGAAAATGAAAGATGGAACAACAAGAGAAGTACCAAGAAATAAACGGTACTAAGGACGTGACTCCTTAACCCTAACTATTGAGAATAACAAGCAATTGGCCTGTAAATACATATACGATGATTTAGGTGTGTAGACTACTAATATAGAGATCGATGCAATGGTCATGTCTCCATACCCACCTTCTAGCCACATCAACTGAGTCGAGGTCACATAGTCGTGTTCCTTGGATAGAGTAAGCTCTACCTACTCTAAACAGGTTCTACTCGTCGACACACAAATCGAGTAAGTTAGTGGTCATCTACGTTACCCAGTAAGTATCAATTAAGGGAGCACTTAGCAAAGGGGGATGGTTACGTCTACCTAGACTAATTCTCTAGATCATCAAAACATGTCAACATACATGCAAACACAATTCACATGACAATAACCATGAATCCATGCTTGAAGCGCTCTAATCAAACACAAAAACGCCATAGATTAATAATTGCCTTTAATGACATATTACACCCTAATTTAGGTTTTAGATGAGTAAACCTCAAGTACCTCAATAACTACCCCATGAAGTGGGGGGGGAGAAGATTAGTAAGAATCTCCAAGTGGCTGGAAAATCCTTCTCTTGTTCTCTAGTAGCTCACTTCTCTCTCCATCTATGGTTTCAACTTCTAAAATGAGACAATTTCATCAAAATAAGGTCTCTCTTACTTATAGTTCAGAAAACCCGGCCGAGATCATGACCAACTCGAGGATTTCATGGCTGTGATCACATGAAGTAGATCATGATCTCCAAGGCGGCGTTGCCTTGGGCTGCTTTGGATGGGCGTTCATAGACTAAAGTTCACGATCGCGATCTGGAAGTCATAGTTATGATTTTCCTCACGAGTTCAAGGAACTCACAGACATTAATGGGTTTCTTCCAGTTAAATTCATATCAGCTCTAGGGAACAATGTTCCTAAGAGACTACTCGATGAAACTTTCTTTCTCGCATCACGCTTAGAGACAAATTTTTGATTGAATGGGATTTATAGTGGTCTCCTGGCTGAAGGACCATGACTTGAGCCATGACACATTTTTTCTTCTTCGTGCAATGTTTCCCAAAGATCATGACTTGAGGATTTGAGATCCGGTCATGATATCCTGCATAGTCAGCATCTGGTTCGTGATCTGGAAGTTCTTGGTTGTGTTCCTCAGCTTTTGCATGAAAACTCGAGACGAGATGGCCTCTTTTCCTACACTGGAGCCCTTTAATCTTCGCCATAAACATCTGAAGCTCATGATGCCACCTAATAATTCAGAACCAAATGCAAGGAAGCAACCTAGGCTACATCAAGGATTCAAACAAACTTTCAAAGCTCAAAATGACACGAAAACACCTGATAGTTTGAGGGAGATTAACACCTATTTAACAAAGTCAAAAGTGGGTTCGAAATAGCTTATGGGGATAACCTATTTTAAAAATCCTAAATTGCATATTTTTAATATCACCAATCTTGAAATCTCCAATTTTTTAAAATGAGTTAATTAGAAAGAAAATCCGGGATAATGAGCGAGTAGTGAAGTCCCTCATTGGAAACCATCATCCAAACTACCATTGGTAACTAAGAAGGATAGATTACCTGCATCCAAATTAACAGAAGAAAAAAAGGGAAAGGCATGCAACACATGCATGATCGTGTTTCGTGCGTTGTTGGAACTTGTACGAGTCTCTCTCCAGGACATATTATGATGTTGGCCCTCGAGATTTATAAGTAGTCAACCACGAGCTGCCAAGTAGAGGAAAAGTGTTACTGGAGCTAATCCCTACCACTGGCACACGTCATATCACAACGCAATTGAATCCTCCATGTCACGATCAGTACCAATCCTAGAAGTTAAAAAAATTTAAAAGCAATCAAACAAGTAGTGTCCTTTCTATTTTAGAACAAAGGGGTCGTTTGGATGGAGTATTCATATGAGTTATTTGGACTCAAATAATTCATAAGGGGTTATTTGGGTTCAAATAATCCGTTTTGCCACCATATTTTCGCATATGGTATTTGACCTCGCGTTATTTGAGAATAACGCGTAAACGCGTTATAACAAATAACTGGGGGGAGGGGTGTTATTCTGAAATAACGCGTCTATGCCCCTTTTTCGCCCTTTTCTGCCTCTCACCTCTCTCCTTCTCCCTCATTTCTTTGTTTCGTTTAATTCTTCTCCCCAGAAGGAAAATCGATTCTTCTGCTAATTTTGGATCCCTTTTTGCATACAGATCAGATCGAGTAGGCGGAAGGCTAGGTTGTGATGGTGAACGGGAGCAAGTTAGTAGGCGGGGGCGACGGTAGAGCTATGTGGGTGGCGAAGGAAGATGTTCGTTAGAGTGGTCGAGCTTCGTTGGCGGCGATGGTAGAGCTTCGTTGACGACGATGGAAGAGGTTCCTTTGGAGTGGCCGAGCTTCGTTGGCGGCAATGGTAGTGCTCACTTGGCCGAGCTTCGTTGACGACGAATCCTTCCTCTGTTTCTTCTTCAAGTCACCACCGTCGATCAATCCGGAGGTGGGTTTCGATTTAAATTTATGTTTATTAAATTAGGGGGTTTCTTATAAGAATTGGGGGTGCATGATAAGAATCGCCAATTGAATTTGGGTTTCTGTACTGCCGTCATCCCTCTTGCCTCTATATTGTTGTCTTGTGCATCTCGAGTTTTATATGTTTACACAACCTGCTAAATTCCTAGCCGAAGAAGCTACCTTTTATACTATTGTCTTGTGCATCTCGAGTCTTATATGTTTCAGAATGGCAATTGAAACCATAAAACTTATATGCATCTCGAGTCTTATGATTTTGTATATGATTTAGGTTTATCTCCTTAAAATCTATCAAGCCCAAAAAGGAAAATCAAATTGGCAATTGAAACCATAGAACTTATCAAAGAAGAAGGATTTCAATCTAGATGGCTCTCTGATTGCGGTAGTTGTTACAGCATGACTGCAACTGCAGATTTTAATTGTATTAAACATGACATACGTCTTGTGCATGGTTCCTTGTGATGTATTATTCTTCTATTAAAAGAACAAGCAAAGCTGGAACTGTTTCATAGAGTCGCATCCAAACACTGTTACTTGTCTGCTTTTTTGCTTGTTCTCATTGGCATTTTCTCTGATATCTTGGAGCTGATCCTGTCACTTCCAATTAATCCCCTCTTCCACTTCTTTTTTTTACTTTCTCTCTTATCTGTCACGTAGGTAGAAGAAGGGAAAAAAAGGAAGACCATTCCCCTCACTTGTTCCCTCTTATCCCTTTCCCATTATCTCTCCACGTCAGCATGTCTTCCAACCACTCATCTCAAAGAAGAAGAAGAGGAAACTCACCCCTTCTATCCCTCCCAACCAATCATCTCAAAGAAGAAGAAGAAACCCACCCCTTGCAGATCAATTTCTTAACCTTTTTTCAGTTCATCTTCGATCTCGATTCTTTTTGTTGAACTCCCAATCCCAATGGACACATGTCTCTGTCAAAACTTGCAAATTACACCTGTCTGTCTCCATCTAAGCTTCTTCTCCGGCGAATCGACGAGGGGACGAGGCAACCAGGCTTCTTTTATTGGCCATAGGTGCTTACGACGAAGTGAGGGGCTCCACTCTTGAAATGGCCGAACTATTGCTGCAACATCAGTTTTCCTCTGTGTTTCAGTTTCATTATAGTGTCCGTTCCGCTCTCTCTTGCTGATTTTGTATTGGTTTCTTTGTTTTCTTTGTTTATCAGAGCAGGCAGATTTGAGAGGTTCAGTGACGGTGTGGAGAAGAAGCTAATCTTTATGATTCCTATGGTAATCGGTGTTCTGCGTGACGGTTTGGAGAAAAAGCCGATCTCCAGGTTTCGTACTGCAATTGGATTTCAAGTGATGGTTCTCTCTATGATTAGTTTGTTAACTCTGTTTTCTATCTTTCATGGTTGGGATTTTCCGCCATTGGTCAGGTGTTCTTATAAATTGTGACTTTAATCAGTTGTTTTCCAGTTTTAGTTTAGTCTTTTTACCGCTTAAGCATGTTAAAGCTTCTGTTGAATGTTTATTCTTTGTCTTTCACGTCTCTCCGATTACTCCCTCTTTGTGTTTTTCTCACTTTACTCTTGCTTGCTGTTCAATTTTTCTTTTGATCGTTTCTCTTGGATTAAAATCATCAAGGTTGTTGCTCAGTTTTTATTCCTTTCTATATAGGTCATCACTGAGTGCTCTGAAATACAGTTCTTCATGGAAATCCTGGTGGTTGGTGTTTAGAGCTACCAAAGCTGCGGATGTGGTCAGAAGAACGAGGGAGCAGTGCTATGTAAAATCTCTTTATAAGCTCGAAGACTATCCTTTTGAGCTTCGTTGGGTAATGGTATCTTGCCGCTCCCAGGCATCACGTAGTGACTCATCTGGCTCCTGGCGGAAATGAGTGATCTCCCGGTGAATCTTCGTGGTCTTCAAGGTCGGATAGTACTTGTGCACAAATTTGTCGGCCAAGTCGTCCCACGATGTGATGGATAGTGGGGGTTGGGTCTCTAACCACGTCTTTGCATTCCCCGCCAGAGAATGGGGGAAAAGGTGGAGACGGATCGCATCATCGGGTACACCATTCATCTTGAATCCATTGTCAGCTGCAGGAACCGGGAAAGGTGCACACTTGCCTCCTCATCCTTCAAGCCATGGAACTAGATAGAGGATGTAATCAGTTGAATCCATCATGGCTTGATCTCAAAGTTGCTCGCTGGAATGGGTGGATAGAGGATGATGGGGCGGATGTCGGCGACCCGTGGAGTGTAGTAGTACTCCATAGTAGGACCCGACGAAGATTGTGGATGATGCACCCCATCTGCCTGGGGGACTGGGTTGTTCCCCAGGATCTGATTCACTGGGGGAACCTGCATGGGCATCCTGAGGGGTTGGTTATGCCCCAGGTTGAGGTTCCCCCTGTTGTGCTCGTCGCCCATCTCGTATTCCTCGTCACAGTCACTGCTCAGATGGCCATCAACTTGCACTTCCTTCATAGCCAGTCTCACTCGATGTTGTCTCCTTAGTTGGCGACAGGTGCATTCTAGCTCCGGATCTAACGGTAGTAAACCTTCCGACTGGCTACGGGGCATGCACTACCTGCACACAGCCAAGCAAACAAACCCGTGAAGGCACAAGCGGGAAAAAACAAACAATCAATGTAGAATGGAAATGCTAAAGTAACAGAAATCACGTTTCTTCAACAACCTAGCTTTCCTCGGCAACGGTGCCAAAAACTTGACACGCCTCTACCGTCACACTAGAAAGTGGCCAAGTGTAACCACCTACTAATGCATAGTATAACGGGTTCAGTTCTAATTGTCAACCCGGGTCCTAGGTGTGATGACTACTCCATGAAAATCTTATTATTTAGCGGTTCTAGTGTAGTGAAGGTTTAGTTAAACTAGCAAGAAAAGCAGTGAAAGTTGTGTTCAAGTTGAGAGAGGTCACCCAGATATGGTTCCCCCTAGACTGCAATTAAGCCAGGTTGTAATTTACCAAGTCAAGTTCAATGATAGTTATACTGCGGGAGGTTCTTAAAGAGTCTGCAGTCTCGACTAAAGGTCTCCAGACCCTCTCAATCTGAGTCCCCAGCGGGCGACTAACCTCCACCGGAGTAAACAGATTGAGGCCCTAACGAACTAAACCTCCTCTACCGAAGTAAATCCGGTACAGAATAGTGAATTGACTCCTCGACTAAAGTCGTCAATTCACTACCTTCAATCAATGGTGCTCTATCAACCTAGGCAGATATTCTCGTTCTAGGTCAAAGCAGAAATAACAGGAATTTGATCATGATTCATGTCATTCAAGAAATCAAACCTCAATTGAATATAATCATATCACTGAATTCGTACTTGGGTTCATACAATCAGACCTAACATACAAATCTAGGGTTCTTCATACCTAGATGAATGAGAAAGTTACTCCATAGAGAGAGAAGGGAACTCTAGCTCAGATACGAAAACCATACTGTGAAGGATGGGATTCTGCTTCTGGCAATCAATCAGCGCTCCTCCAAGCTCCAACCGGGCTCCAATGGTGATGAAGATCGATCTAGGGCGCTTGAAGAATCAGATCCGTCACTCTCTCTCTCTCTCTCTCTCTCTCTCTCTCTCTCTAGGTATCAGCTTTTTCTCTCTAAAACTCGGAACCCTTCAAAAGTTGGCCTTCTTTCCCTTAAGAACCAGCAGGTCGCGATCCCCGGTCGAGTATTTCCAGTGTCCGGTCGGGGATTTTGAAACGCAGCGCAACACCAAAGGGGTTAATACTCGATCGTGGTCCAGAATACCCGATCGGGTATTTTTGCTCTCAGGTCGGGACCCCTCCTGCTTCTTGGCGTCCAAAAACAGTTTTCTCCAGCCTCCCATTGCATTTTACCCGTCCGGGTATTTTCACTCATGGATGGGTATTTTGCTATTCCAACACCCTTCTACTCCAACGTCCTCCTTTTGACCCAAAACTCGTTTCCTCGCCTTCACGTCAACGCCAAGTCTTGAAATATGACATAAACACACAACCTAGCGTGAAATCGGCTTAAAACACGAGAATCGACTCTCGTACAGCTCAAGAATGGAGATAAAAACATGTGCAATCAATCATCCATAAGTTTGTTGCACCACTTTTATGTATTTAATAGCTCACATGTCGGTTCTTCTGAATTAATTTATTTCTCCTTTTGACTTCTTATTTGTCTTGCTTCATGAGATAATGCTTTTTAACTGTTGTTGATCATTTCCATCCTCTTTAGATTTGCTTGATTTGGTTCTTACTTACCTGCTTATGTTTAGGTCTCACAGTGTTTCCCCATCCTCTCTTATTGCATATGTTAGGAATGCATCCCCCACCTGTTTCCCATCCCACGGAGGTGCTGCTTTACTGCATACCATATGCAGAAAACAACTCATCCCCGTTTTTTTTTGTTCCCGTTGACTTTTATTGTTGATATGACTTGAATCGACTATCAGCCGCTACTCCTCTGTAATCTGTAATCTCCTTGATATAGTGAAATCGGCTCTCTCTCGCCCGTGGACGTAGCTAGCACACATCGTGTTAGTGAACCACGTAAATCGTGTGTCGTGTTTTCGATTCTCGCTTTCGTATTCTTGCTTTGTCGATTCCGGCGATTTCCCGATCCGTAGCAGCGCGTTTATAACATTTATATTTGAGCCACATTCTCTTCAGCTCCTCTACATTCACGCTTCTTCCATCTAACTGATGTTCCTGAGTTCATCTTGTCAGAGGCCATATCTAATTATTATTAGTAGATAATAAATAGCGCCTAATTGCTTAAAGGATGCAGTAGGCTGTGCATGAGTGTAGCATAAGACTCCTGTGATCCACCGAATTTTTCGGCCCCGTTGTTCTCTCCAATTTCTGTTGGTCTCCAGCGTAAATTCTCTGTTGGTCTCCGACGTAAATTGACTGGAGGCTACGCAAGTTGTTCTCGTTGTGGGTGGCGGCAGGTTGCTAATCGCCAGTGAGTTTTGTAGGATACACCGTAGAATTTCATAATTTCATGCACATTTTCCCAAGCTTCTCCGATCTCCCTAAGTTGGCGGCTCGCCGACTTTGCGCTTTCTCTTTCCATTTTACTAGCCAGCCACCAGTTGACCATGGATGACATATATCCAACTTCTCTCCGTCGGTTCTGCAGGTTTTCTTCTCCTATCATTGCCTGAAAGATAATTAAGAAAGAATTAGTTGTTAATATTGTAATTAATCCGCTACTTAATATATAAGACGGTCTGCTAATATTAAAAATCACATCTAATCTAAGTAGTTACACACTATCGAGAAGCGGCGAGGCAAGTTGGGGTTCCAGTCAGCAGGTGCACTCTCCCGACTGACAACTTAGTAACTTGGGTTTTTTGCATGCTCAATCTGCAGTACGTGCAAGCCTTCTTTATCCGAGATTCATATTCACATTAGTCTGTCATGCAGATAGCTCTTACTTGAGTCCTTCCCCTTGCTGGCTGTCAAATGAAAGAAAGCCTGCAGTGATGAGAGGAAGAAGAGCAGTCGATCTTTTGCGGGGATTGCATTTTCCCTTTCACTTATTCAATTCATCCGTCTCCTTTTTGCACTGCATGCGTAATATGTTTGCATAAGTGACACCTATTAACCTTTGGAAGTGCCACCTGTCGTCCCTGATGGTTTCTTCCGGATGTTTTATCATTTATTTTATTTAATCTATTCAATTGCACACCGTATATTGCTGCAACTTCTTGGCGTTTATAAGTTGCTTCCCTACATATAAAATACTTACAGTTAATTAGAATAACTAGTATTGTAGCCCGTGCTTCGCAACGGGTACCCTTACGTCAATACGTTGGAGGTTTCAATATTTTACACCGTAGTCATTCTTAGTATAATGAAACCAAGGAATCACACCCCAGAGAGTTATTAACATTAATATTATGAATAATCAAAGTACTTAAAGCAAAATAACAATTATGTTAGCGTTAGATTTGCTTTAATAACAATTATGTTAGCGTTAGATGTCCAAAAGGTAGTGTTGCTGCTTGCTGGTTTAAGGGAAAGATATGTATAAGGTTATAGTACGTACATAAGGAAACAACAAAATTGTTCTAGACAGACATGCACTTGAAAGTTGAAACTAAGGACTAAGGAGGCAAAACCTGGCCCTCAGGCCTAAGTCGCCATATCCTTCAATTGTTGGATACTTTCAGCTGATCTGCATTTGGATTGAGAGAATAAGGCCATTACTATAAGTAAATCAAACCCATACATGCATTACTATAAGCATATTTTCATATTCAATCATAGAATTTTCCATCCTAGAACTAATAATCTCTCAATTACAAAGAAAATCGAGAGCATAGCTTTCCCACTCCTGTTCTCCTAGTAAAGTTTGCCCACAGAAGAAGTAACATACGTTGAATCACTAATATGCAATCAAAGAACAATATCTCCTATAAATGAAGATAATGTCCAAAACTATTCCGACCTATTATAACAATGGCGACTATCATAATTATGCAGTTTAATCGAGTTACTGCATAAATTTTTGAACTAAAAATTTGTACTACTTTACCCAAAAACAACACTCTGCAACCCCTAACAACCACATAACTATTCTTCTCCTTATATGCCTTTGTAAAACTCATCAAAAGACAAAAGCAACTGGTTTTGGTAATCTCAAGAGATCGACAACTCCCCCAGTTCTACCAACCTCCTCTCTGATGCAATATCATATGGTCACTCACTTGTACAAACCTACAACAATATCCAGATTTGCATTACAAAGCTGAAAAATAAAAACTAACTATTTTGAAGAGGAATTAATCATAGGGAAAGTAATATACCAAGCTGATCACACATACAGGACCAAAGAAAATA